TACCCACCCTTCGTGTCGAACGGCAGGCGCACATGGTTCGAGCTCTCAGTCACCCTCTCACGCGTTCGACATCTATTGCTGTTTCTTCCACTCTTCCAAACTCCCCCTTGCTCAGGGACTTGGGGGGACTATATGACTACCATCGGCGAGCCACAAAAAAGGGAACAAAGCCCTCGCGTCCGGGTCAGAATGCCGAAGACACATGCAAGTCCCCAACCAAGAAGTCCATTCTCAATTGAAAACTTGGGGGACTCTTGTTTGTACCATATCTGACCCTCCACTCACATCATGACACGTGGAAAGAGGACAAGGCTAAGGTCAACCTAGCTCACACCGGTAGATCAATTAGGTGCGAATCGGCTTTTGCGACCGATTCAACCGTTAAGTCCTTCAATCGGCAAGCTCTCTCGAGTGCCCCATTGAACATACTATCGATACCAGCTACTGAACAATCCTCGAGCATGCGTTCAGCATGCCTCACCGATCATGCGGGACAACCTCAAACCTCCCGCAAAGACATGTCGAGACGCATGTCAACCACTGAAGGCACTCTCACAAGTCCCACATCGAAACTAAGTACTAAGAGCATATCAGGCACTCTCTATAAATAGGGCCTCTTGCCCCAAACACAGGGTAAGACTTTTGACTTGACTCTTATGCTTTAACATTATCAATAGCAAAGCTCTCAAGAAACTTACTTTAGCATCGGAGGGTCTTCGGCCGGTACCACACCGGTACTCTAGACCTCATCTGTTGTTTCTCTCCTTGGCCTAAATCCAGCATCGCATCCCAAGGAAGAATGTGTTCATACTGAAGGCTCAATCAGTCCTTAGACCATCCACGTCACCTGTAAGTTACTTATATTTCTAGATGTTTGGTTTTAGCGCAAACAAAGATTATGACAATGGGATTGAATGCATAAAAATTAGAGGGAGTTCATTCAATGGAACAAATACCAAGAGACTACCTGAAAGTTTCAAAACGAACATTGTCTAATGGTTTTGTAAACAAATCAGCCAATTGTTTTTATGTGCAAACAAATTCAAGACTTACCACATTTTCTTCAACCAATTCACGAATAAAATGATGCATAATATCTATGTGTTTTGTTCGCGAATATTGAACTGGATTTTTGGAAATATTTATTGCACTTAGATTATCACAAAAAAGAGTTGAAGTACCTTGCTGAATGCCATAATCACTCATCATTTTCTTCACCCATAGTAATTGTGTGCAACAACTTTTGGCATCAATATATTCCGCTTCGGCTGTAGACAAGGAAACACAAGCTTGCTTTTTTTCTATGCCAAGACGCAAGATTATTACCTACATAAAAGCACCCTCCAGATGTGCTCTTCCTATCATCAACGTTTTCAGCCCAATTCGCATCGGTGTAACCTACAATTTCAGAATTTGAGTCAAATGAATAACATACACCTAAAGTTGGAGTACCACTTACATATTTGATGATTCTCTTGACTGCATTCAAGTGCGACTCCTTTGGATTTGCTTGAAAGCGAGCACACACACTAACATTGAATGAGATGGGTCGACTGGCTGTTAAATATAAGAGGCTTCCAATCATGCTTCTGTAAAGTGTTTGTTCTACACATTTTCCAGATGGGTCAGCATCAATTTTGTTGTGTGTAGCCATGGGATTCCTTGTTGGTTTGGTAGAGCTCATACCAAACTTCTTTACCAAGTCATTTGCATACTTGGTTTGAGAAATGAAGATACCATGATCTTGTTGCTTGACTTGCAGGCCTAGGAAATAGCTCAGCTCCCCACACATACTCATCTCAAATTCGCTGTGAAAATACCTATAGGATGGCTTAAAAAACTTAAAGCATAAAGTCTGTGTTTTACGTAGTTAGGAGTATTACAATAATACAAATAAAACAAGCCAAGGGGATTGATACGATGTATCAATCCTGTACAGTTCAGAATGTAAAAGCAGAGGGGGAAAATCCACGGGGCCTGATAGTCCAAGGCAAATCCACTATAGAACGATGATTACAAGAAGTATACAAACTTGTCCTAGACACTCTAGTCAACGTACCAACTTCTTCGTAACTCAACTTCTTGTGGGATTTCTCCTTCTCTCCTTATGTTGAATCCGATTCTTAAAGCAATCGATCCAAGCTCACTGGAGGTATGAGAACTGTGTAACTTATGCAAATGGATGCAAATGAATGCAAGAACAAATCACCAAGATAATCTTGCTCTTGATGATTTATCCTTATGAACAACAAAGCACAGCAACTTTCTTTTGTGAATATAAAAACTCAAGAAATACTCTAGACGTAGAAAGTTGTATTGAATGAAAACCAAGCCTTTCTTTTTATAATGGTTTTCAAAACTGGAAACAAGATCAATTAGTTCCTAATCAACAGATTAGTTTTCCAAAAGCAGACTAATTGATTTCCAATCAAAGAAGACTTTTAATGTTTAAAACTGGAAAGCAATTTATCAAATCAATCAATCTTTCTAAAAATAAAACGTCTTCTTTAATCATAATGTTAATCAGATTGTGAGTTTGAAATAATGCTTGAAATAC